TACACTTTTACCAACGAATAGTGGGATTGACTGTCACATTATAACGCCCCCACGGCTTAAAGGGCGAGCATGTCTGGTGGGACGAGGATTCGAACCCGCGACCCGCAGATAGCGAGTCGAGTGCCCTAACCACCTGGCCATGCCGGGCCCTTTCCTTTTGAATGAATAAGCAAGTCAGTTCAGCATACAACATGCTGCTTAAGCTGTAAAATGAATTGATAAAACTATGGTTTTATTTTCATCCTGGTTCAAAATCTTCCAAGGCATTTTTGCTCGTGATTATTATTAAAATTAATTTTTCGTTTTATTACTAACAGAGTATCGTTCAAGGAGAGATGAAAATGATGTACTAAGCTCTGAATTAATTTCACTATTTTGTGGATGTGAAATATCATTTTCCTAATTACTTTAGGAATCTCTGTTTATCTCTATTCTCACATATTTTTCCCAATTAAAAAAGTGAAACATAAGAAGCCGAAGTATTTGGCTCAGATTTCTTCATTAAAAATATCTGGACTTGTTTTTTTATGTGAGAGAAAAATATATATTTATGGTTCGTAAGGTTAGGTTGTATCTAACGTTTTATCATACCAGTTAAGAAGTAATGGGTGACTCTGTGTATACATTTCTTAAAAAGAAAAATTTTGTTTACGCACTAAACTTGAGTTATCATCTGCAATTTCCCACGTTTGGGTATAATAATCTTTTTTTATTTGTTTATTTAAAGTATTTGTATTTTTCAGTGATCCAGGGTAATATTAAAACGGTTGTATATGCCAATTTTGGCAGACTAGTACATTAATATCTGCTTTTTGTAAGAAGAATATTTTGTTGCAACTCATTAAATACGAATTTTATCAACTTCAGTTATGTGTCCAGTTTCAGTAGCTAAGAGTCTTAATTAACATACATACCTTGTTTTCCAGAAGTCGTGCCTGTCCAACCAGATTTGACTCAAAATGTTCTGAACTTACCGCCTCACATACGGCATGGAAGTCACAGTGATCTGAATAGTAACGAGAAGTCGGGATTATGTGTAGCCCCACTTCTTCCTCATCATCACCTGTTTTCTACTAACATTCCACCTAGCCCCGCTCAGAGCCATGTGCCTCTACTGGATCCCCAGATGTCACACGCCCCCAATTCCACGGACAAGACAACACCACACTCTGATTCATCTCTATCTGGACCATCTTCCTTAACTAGTAAGCTGGCTGAACAGTTTGTACAATTAACGTATATGAGTAACACGAGCGCGCTTTGGTACAAACATTTGTCGTTATTCCTGAAACTTCCAATAAATCTCAACGTAACATCTTTAGAAGTGAACAAAGACATTAAACGCTCATGTGAAGACGCACTGATTTTATCATTACTTTCATATCACTAATGAGATGTAATATCATATCCAGATATGCAAGTCATGGTGAAGTGCCCTTTTGTATGTAGTTTTACTGCAGTTAAAAGTTACTACGTTTTGGGAAACAGAGTATTTATTGTCGGCCAATGCTATATTTTACCTATACTTTAAAAGTTTAATATTATTATCTGAATCTTCTGCATGATTTATATTCGCGGGATTATAAATGACAATAAAAAAAATTATTAATAATATAAATTTTTGTTTAAAACAAAAATGACGCTGGAATTACTGCTGCTTAAAAGAATGTTTTAAAAATTATTGGTCCTAATTTTTGGTACAGGTTCTCGGGCTAATTCTCTCTTCGGACCTGAGGCTTCGCTTGGAAAGAACTATGTGACATCAGTAACTCTTCCTCCTAATCTTGATATCGAGTGTATAGCATGGAAGATGGTCACTAAAGCTGGAGCTAGAATTACTGTCCCTGATTCCGGTAAGTATAACACCATTTCGTGACAACTGAATGAGGTCGGCCCGGCATGGCCAGGTGATTAAGGCATTCGACTCGCAATCTGAGGGTCGCGGGTTCGAATCCTTGTCACACCAAT